TTGTCTTGTTTTTGTCTCAAAATCGTGTTTACTCTTTGTCACCTTGGTCTGGACCCGGCATAAAATCTGGAAAAAATCCGGGCGTCGCAAAAAAGAAACTATAAATGTATTAACTAACTTTATAGGACGCAAAAGCCCAGTAATCAACAAAATATAAACCAGAAAAATATTCACGAGAAAAAACATTCAAAAATCTGAGCGTCAAAGTATTTCGAACATGCGTCGGTTAAGTAGGGTTGTAGCATCGTAGAAACTAAAATATTCAACAAAACTGGCAAAATATTTTACTAAGTTAAATTTCCCGGACGATTTTCCAAATCAGAGATTAAGCCTCGGAATAAGTTTAATACACGAAAATTTATACTCGATTTTATATTAAGTTTTAAAGACGATAATATCCATTGAAAAGATTATCACATGACATAAATCGATTTAGGAGATGACCCGTTCTCCTGAATAAAATTCTTAACTAATTCAATTCATGAATATCTATTGAATACTACTGAATTCTTGTAATAATAAAAATCGCTTTGTTGTATCCTTGCATAGGTATAAAAGAATAACACGCTACCTGGATAATACCACGTCACTTCCTTTGAATTCTTTCAATTCGTAAATAATTGAAAGACAACAGCACAACAAAAAAATGAATAATCTTTGATTAAAACATTTGGGCGGCTTTTAGTAACAAAACTTAATTGTTTCGACCTTGGTACCTCTTAAAAAAATATATAAAACACAATTTTAAACTCATATTCGGTACCTAAGTACTTCCTTTTTGAGAATCAAAGAATAAAAGAATGGAAAAAATAAGAATAAGAATAAATAAGAATGAGAATATTAAAGAATGAAAAATTATTTTAAAATACAGATAAATATCTATTCATATAATTAATTTTATACTGATAAATTTATTTTTAATTGTCATACTTACCCCTTCTATACTTAGAAATTAAAACAAAAATACCGAGAGAAATACTTAATCCTAGAATGCTATAAGAAAAATAATATTGATAATTTTTTTCATCAACATATTATTTAAAGAAGACAACTTAGTAAAAATTAAGCCTCTCTGTAGGCAACTTGTGTGAACAATTCAATGGTTTTGATCAACAAGCTTTTCTTTTTATAGTCAACAAAGGTCTATTTGAAAACAAGACCTTGGAAAAGAAGCATGCAAATATTAGGATCTAAAAATGGCATTCTAAAAATTGCAATTTGTTGTTATTTTTGTGTAAATTAGTTCGTTAATTAAGTAATTTATTATGTAAAATGCAGCACATAAACTGCTTGTAAATAGAGGTTATGTGAAATAGACTGTATATACTGGGTGCGTCTCAAAAGTGGCTCACCCCTATAATTTTTTTATTTTTTCATATAAAAAAACGAAATTTGGTATGTTAGTATGTGACATAAATTAGGTTAATTGACGTATTCAATTGTTTTTCGTCACTTCCTGTCCCACCGGAAATGACTACAACTTTTGATTTTTAAATGGTACCTTCGGTATATTTCTACTTTATTCCATAGAAAATGACACTCTGAATGGAATGATATATCATATGTCAACTTTTGACATATTCGCATATGGTTTATTTCAAATTGTAACATGTGATTGTGATTCATAATGACAATTTGACTTGAAATACCTACCAAGTGTGTGGTACCAAATTATTCGTAAAAAATGCTTTTTTTCCAAATATGCTATGACCCACCCTTTTTATATTTGAAAAAATTGAAATATGATTAAAAATACAATTTGGGCATCTTTTAACCGGCCAGGAAGACACGAAAAACATTAGACGATCAAATCTATTTTTCCCAGGCTCCTTGATTAAAAATTAGTGTTTTTAACACAGCCATGGCACTCTAGATTGAAATTTGAAATATGATTTATTTTTAAGCGAAAATTTCAAAAGTTGACAAATGATATGTCATTCTATTCAGAGTGTCATTTTCTATCGAATAAAGTAGAAATATACCGAGGGTGCCATTTAAAAATCAAAAGTTGTAGTCATTTCCGGTCAAACAGGAAGTGATAATAATTGAATAGGTACCTGAATCAATCCTAATTTATGTCATATACCAAATCTCGTTTTTTATCTGAAAAAATATATATGTATAAATAATAATAAAGCAAGGTAAAGTTATAATAAAAATGAAGAAAAACCTCACAGAAATGCTTTTGATTATTCCAGTATCCTGCTAGAAATAAAAAGTAAAATAGGTATCTAACCAAATACGAAACAAACGATTAAAAACAGTGGATTACTGGAACACATTAAAGAAATATCTGCACAAAACATACAAATTTATTTATATTTAAACTATTCTTATCTCAAAGCAAAGCTGGTCTTACTCGTATTTAATTAGACTTTACTTAATTATATCATATCGCACAAATCTCGTAGACAGTTTTCAGGTAAAAATGAAGTGACTAACTGCCTCTTCACTATTCTTCACACTTTATTTTGGTTCTAAAAGCCAGCTGTTTCAAATCTGTCTTTACAACCACAGAGCTTTAATTAAATTTTAATTTAAAGAGATATTCCACTATAGGTAGATAGATAGATAGATAGATATTTCTTATAAGGTATAAGTCTCGGTATAAGTACTATATTTTAAGGGTATCAAAATGTTTTAAGGTTGTTGTACATTGGTTGATTATACGAAAGATGTAAAAAAGTGTGTGGGAAGGCAATGTTCATAATCTAAAATTATTTTGAAATGTGAAAGGTATGTAAAAATACTAGGATCCACACCAAAGTTGTATTTTTTTTTGTGGAATACCCGGTATTTTATTTCATATTTGGATTGTTGGACACAAAATAGGCATTCATTATAAGAGTTAAATATGTTTACAAAGTTTGGTTTTTGAGATATTTAAAAATATTTAAATATGCATGTTATAAAAAAGATTGTCAACACACTGTATATTGCTTTTCAGAATTAATTTTTGTGCTGACTTTTAAGCCAAAGAAATAAACTTCACTGAAAAATTTGATTGCTTCGTTTAATGTATACAGGGGTATCAAAAATTGCTGGTCTATTTTAAATATTTATTTTACATACATAAAAACTTCGTTATTTCAAATACAACACCCTGTATTTTTTTAAATAAATCGAAGCATATTCAAATGCTCTTTCAAACTATGTCAAGGGTTCCTATAGGTACCTATCTAGCTCAGATTTTGAATAAAGATTATTTTTTCAATAAAATGACGACCAAGAAGGTTAGTGTCGTCATGGCAAGTTTCTAGTGACAGTTAGGTAAAATAAAAACACTAAATCCCCACAATACACCAAAACACTTTTACTTTTACACTGGACGCACGTTTCGCTAACCATGTTAGCATCATCAGCAGATGATTATAAACTATCAACTGTAAGACAGTTAGGTAGTAGCTATTTTCAAAATCGGAATTAGTTTATGGACTTTATTATACCAGTTTACTTTTATTTAAGTTACCTATAATTAATAGTTTAATAAATAATATTTATTAAATATGTATTCACATATTATTCTATCAAGAAAAACGAAGTATGTAGTTCTGTGATTTATTTTACGATGACGTAGATATATGGATTTTCCTCGGGATTTTCTATAAAAGCCAGGGGCGAATGAGGTGCCGCCTCCCTGTATAGTCTTTCCAACGACTCAGGGAAGATTTCGACAGACTACATCCAAAAAATGACAGAAAGTACAATTTGCCTGTGAATTAAATGACAGACACAAGACACAACTGTCACTGTCGGGGATCTTCCCGTTGGACAGAGTATACCAAGAGTATACCTGTCTCACGTTGTTGCAATAATAATGATGTTAATATAACTTTTAATAACTAAAAACTCATTTTAAGGTAATAAAACAATTTTGATTCAAATTCAAATTGCCAGACTACAAAACTACCCTCGAAACTACCCACAATATCTCACATATAAAATGGCAATTTTCTTATTACAAAATCGAATACTTAATCCTATAAGGCTTCTCACTCTCCTTGAATGCTTACCCCCAAATTCTTAATTGTAAGCAATGGGGAGCAAACATTCGTTCATTTTTAAGAGAGTGAGGGGAAAGTCTTGCGGAAAATTGTCAAGAGGGTGAGAAATAAGTACTATTTTAAAGAGAATTGTCCAAAAAAAAACTGAAAAAGGAACTTTCTTAAATATTAAGATTATTTTATAGAATTTTTTACAAATATTCTTTAACAAAAACTGAAGTACCTAACATTAAGTAAAATACATAGTAAAATGTAAGTATTCTCTTGAGCACAAATTAATATGTAGGTACCAATATTATTTAATTTGTATAATTTTAAATAGAAGTAAATACTCATAAAAATGTATAAATATCCCCACGCTAATGTTGTAAGTATTGTGCAGGTGGTTGACCCTATTAATATTCGAACAATATATATACGAAAAAAAAAACAATGGATCGCTCCATGATTGAATAACATTTCGATTTGTTCCACCTAGCATTAAAAAAAATAAAAAAATATTGAAAGATAACGAGTCGGAACATGTAGATAATCCTAAACAAAGGGCGAATTTTCATGGCCTTCGTTTTGTCATGCTATTGGATTGGGCCCTATGAAAAAAAAGCAGGAAAATAGGAAACTTGTCATTTCAAACTGCACGACACGAATGTCTGATAAACATAAAGCAGCAGGAGGTAAAAATAAAAATACAACGCTGGAAAAATTGCTGCTTAATTGATAGTAATAAATAAGCAATTACGGTGCTAATTTAAAGTACCAATTTAACGTTAAATCCATCGATAACGTGCATAAATTCATTGCACGTTATATTGTTTTAAATACAACAATATACCTGTTATTTTCATCAACTATCTAATTAGCTCAAGGAGTATCTAGTAAAAACCATGTTTTGATGTTTGTAGTTTAAGTATTATCAGGCAAACTTAAACTCAAGCAATATCTAAGTATATTGTTGTTCGAAATAACTCAAAATGAAAAGAAATAAGTGATTCATACCGCTGTGCTCTGTAAAAATGTTAGAGACTGTTTGTCGTCCATCTTTTACAGGTCTCGGTCTATTTCTTGTTGTTCTAATTGAATGGGTTCCAGCAGATACGGTCCTTTCCTTGGTATTCTGTGCTCCCATGGCTTGAAATCATACCCCTTTTACTGGCAAACCCAGATTGTCACAACTTTTTTTTCAAATCACTTTACAGCATTCGCTCAAAGTTTACGGTCTGTCGACACGAATACTAGCGCAATTCTCGAGCCACTAAACGATACCGAAAAACACGCACAACACACACTACAATTCTTATTCATTTTCGTTATTTATTTAATAAATAAATCAGAGTTCTGGCGATTATTTTGTCTAGCGCAAAACCACTGTTAACATCACTCCGCCATCTTTGAATTTATTATCTGTCACTGTCTAACTTCCGATATTTTATCTTTGTTTATCCAGTGCATTCCTATTGCAACTTCGATTATTTCGTTCAGGCGATTAGCACCAGAGTGAGACAGCAATCAATGACTGACGGGCGCTTGCTACAGGTATCTGTTACTTCCAAATCGTCATTGAGGAATAGTGGTACAGATTTATAGGAGATGGCGCCACATACACTCATTTTTAGTTCCTAACTATCTCTTAATTTACTGATTTTTTCTTTCTTTAATATTAATTGGTTTTTTATTTAAAACATTATAACCATTACTAAACTTAAAATATCAGAAATATATAAAACTTTAAATATTCAGAGTGACTTACTATTTCAATAAAGCTTCCATAAATCAATTCAGGTTCAGGTACTTTCTTTGAGATCTTTAAATTTCTGAATACGGCAGTACACATTTAAAAACCATTTTATTAAAATACAGTTCATTTCAAACATATATTTTCAAACTAAAAGTCGTACTTTTATATAGAATTCTGTATATTTCTGTAACTTAGTGGATTTGCGACAAAATACCGGGTGCGTCTCGAAAGTGGCTCACCCTTCACCCTTATAACTTTTTTATCTTTTCAGATAAAAAACGAGATTTGGTATGTTAGTATATAAATTAGGATTTATTGACGGTATTCAATTGTTTTTGGCCACTTCCTGTTTCACCGGAAATTATTAGAACTTTTGATTTTTAAATGGTACCCTCGGTAATACCCGTATTTAAAGGGTAATACGGAGTCGGTATATTTCTACTTTATTCGATAGAAAATGACACTATGAATAGAATGACATATCATATGTCAACTTTTGACAGTTTTGCTTTAAAGAAAATATATTTTATATTTCAATCTAGAGTGCCATGCCTTTGTTAAAAACACCAATTTTTATTCAAGGTGCCTTGAAAAAATAGTTTTCATCATCTAATGTTTTTCGTGTCTTGTCCTGGTCGGTTAAAAGTAGCCCAAATCGTATTTTTAATCATATCTCAATTTTTTTCAAAGGGAACGAGGGTGGCTCATTAGTATATTTGGAAAAAGCATTTTTTACAAATAATTTGGTACCACACACTTGGTATTTCGAGTCAAATTGTCATTATGAACCGCATGTTATAATTTCAAATAAACCATATGCGAAAATGTTAAAAGTTGACATATGATATGTCATTATATTCAGAATGTCATTTTCTATCAAATAAAGTAAAAAAAAACCGAGGGCGCAATGTAAAAATCAAAAGTTATAGTTATTTCCGGTGAAACAGGAAGTGACCAAAACAATTGAATACGTCAATCAATCATAATTTATGTCATATACTAACATACCAAATCACGTTATTTTATCTAAAAAAATATAAAAAAGTTATAGGGGTGAGCAACTTTTGAGAAGCACCCGGTATAAAGGGTGGCGCACCTCATTCGCCTCGGTTGATTTTACCCTTGTTTATAATACGAAAACGGAAAGATGTAGAAACAAAATATTTTATAGGTATACGTGGGAAGACATAATGTGCTTAATTTTAAATTTAGGAAACAGAAAAAATATAACTTTGGTATGGTTTGGTTTGGTTCTGAAACACGCTGTTCTGAAAAAGAAAAAAAATGCTTTTTTTTTAAGCATTTTTTTTTCTTTGTTAGGCAAATTTTTATAACTGTAAACACAACTACTGACAAGCAGCGTCCGTTTAGGTTTAACGCAGAAGTGTTTACCAAAAATAACTATTTTATTTTGTAGATTTTTCTTGCAGTGCAGTGGCGAAAAACCCATAAAGGATTTTTTTGGATAGATGAATCCGCCACATAGGTATAGACATTTTTTACAACGCAAGATTTATCAGGTCTACCATATCTTATCTGAGCTAAATGTTCTTTAAATCTAGTTAATATTGATCTTCTAGTTTGTTCTAGTATCTTCTATATAGCTTTTCAATCACTCAAAAAAATTAGCACACATAATTAGATCTATGCGGTCACATCAAAGCGCCGATTATCGCTGCGCGCATAGTTTGATGCTAAGGTCTGGTAGGTGGTGCCAGGGTAGAAACTGAGCCACTGAGCTTAGTATTTTTTTACCTTCGACCAGTGTACATCTCATTGAATCGCCGCTATGGATAAAGAAAAATTAATCGGGCAAGTGTATGTTCGCGAACCTATTTGGAATAAAAGAGACAAAAATCACCTCAATCACAACTGTATTATTTTGAATAAATTGTTGTCCATACAACATCCGCTTTTTGTTTAGGGGATGTACCTTATTATTTTGACACTTTTTTTCTAGGAACCACATTTTAGCACTTGAATTCAGAATAATATCATATTCACACGAAGAAGAAGATGTCGAAATATCCATGAATTAAAAATTAAAATGCAGTACAAAAAATGTTAACTGACTAAAAAATACTATAATAACAAATTTCTTCCGTTTGCCACGTTATTTATATAGACCTAGGTAGATTTTAAAAAGTGACACAGGTACAGTTAATAATATATTAGTTCGGCATAAAAGTTGCTGTCACGACATCGAACAATAAATTCGTAAAATAAATTAAAATTATTAATTAAACAAATCTTTATAAAGAAACGCAAGTATACCAAATTTGGGCCCAATCGAACTCCAGGAAATGATATCATAATAGTGTACTATATTATGGTACCACTCGATATACTTTAAGGTACCATAATATTGCAATGTCACCGAAGATCCGTAGTATACCAAATTTAAGAACAATCGAACGCCATGAAATGGTATTGTAATATGGTACTATATTAAGGTACCACTTTATATACATTATAGTTCAATCATATTACAATGTAACCGAAGATACGTAGTATACCAAGTTTGAGCCCAATCGAACGCCAGGAAATGGTATCGTAATATGGTACTATATTAAGGTACCACTTTATATACATCATAGTTCAATCATATTACAATGTAACCGAAGATACGTAGTATACCAAGTTTGAGCCCAATCGAACGCCATGTACCTAATATAGTACTATATTATGGTACCAGTTGATATGCTTCATGGTACCATAATAATGCAATGTCATCAAAAATACGCAAGTATATATCAAATATGAGCTCAATCGAACGCCAGGAAATGGTATTGAAATATGGTACTATATTAAGGTACCACTTTATATGCATCATAGTACCATCATATTACAATGTAACCGAAGATACGTAGTATAACAAGTTTAAGTCCAATCGAACGCCAGGAAATGGTATCGTAATATGGTACTATCTTATGGTACCTCTTATTATGCTCCATGGTACCATAATATTACAATATCACCCAAGATACGTTGTATCCCATATTTAAGCCCAATCGAACGCCATGTACATAATATGGTACTATATTATGGTACCAGATGATATGCATCATAGTACCATCATATTACAATATCACCGAAAATACGTAGTATACCAAGTTTAATCCCTATTGCCGATATGTACCTAATATTGCTATGTCATCAAATATGGTACTATAGAAGGTACCACTTTATATGCTCCATGGTACCATGATATTACAATGTCACTGAAGATATAGTATACCAAGTTTAAACCCAATCGAACGCCATGTATCGTAATATAGTACTATATTATGGTATCACTTGATATGCTTCTGAAAAAAACGGCGTCCAGTTGGAAGGAAAAGGACGATCGATGACATTTCCCATATAAATTTACATATAAAATGACAGTGATATTCATTTATAGCTATCGCTAACGCCGTTTTTCCCGATTATACAATATGAACTTGGTATGAACACAATCGAACGTCAGGAAGTGGTATCATAATAGTAGAACAATACTTTTATATTGTCGCCGAATTACAATGAAAATTCAGGATTCAATTATACAATCAAACGTCAGGAAGTGATTGTAATTTAGCTCATAAGATTTAATTCCAACTAACATGGCAAACTGAAAAAAACAGCTCTGATCTATTTTAATATGTTTAAATGATGTAGCAAATTTGAAGGTAGGCTTTATCAGGATACATTAAAATACGCAACCAACCGTCCAATCAGATGAAAGAGGTACGTACCCTATCGTTGGGTATTGTGCAATCACGTGATGCTCATGTCGTATGACGGTTAAATCTTTGGTTAGAATTTTTGTTGTTGTTTTTACCGAAGAGTTTTTACCTGTTTTTACAGTTTTTACTTTATTTTTCTATTTACATCAGATTTATATTTTGTAATTGCCTATCAGACAATACGTATTTAGAAAAATAATAAGAATTAGGATCGTGTTTTTTTTTAAATCCTGGATATTAATTGGAACCCTTGGTAACATTACTGCTTTTGATATAAAAAGTGCATTTTTGATTATTTACTTGGGTTAGGATATTAAAATATCGGTTGGATTATACGACATAAATAGATGTAGGTATGATTATTTATATATATATATGTATGTATTTATAAAGCTTACTATCTGTTTTGCATTTTCAGTTTTTGATCAGACATTTGATTTTATTTGTGAAATGCCCACAAAAAAGCTTCCAATGATTCAACATCAGTGTGTTTGCTGCATAATGGATCATTCCTGCTGAATTTTTAGATCATTTGAAGACTACACGGAAAAAAACAGATAATATGTTACATTTACATAGAAATTGACAGCGAGACAATTTTATAGGCAAGTGTTAGCATTATTCGAGGCACCATCAAAGAAAGCAATAATAATATGCTTAGTCCCAGAGATATTACAGCTTAGTTATTTTGCCCTACAGGAGAAAAACCAGAGTAGTTCACTCGTAATTGCATTTTCTCGGCTCCAGTTAAAATGAACAAAGCTGGTTTTTCCTGTGGTCTTCATTTGAAATAACGTAAATAAATGTTTATACATATGTATGTGATGATTAAATTGGTGTTAAGGAAATAAAAATGTCTTTCGATATTAATATATATTTTTCGATATTAATATATACCTAGGTATAGGTATATGTATATTTATTTTGAAATAAATTACACTTTTAACAGTTTAATGGAGTTTTTAAAGCCAGTTATAATATTTATATTTTAAAAACTTGAAATCATAATGTGGATGTAATCACGCATTAAACCACAGACTAACTTATATAAGTCAAAAAGTAGATTTTAGTGTTAACTTTATATAACTTGTAAGTAAAATAATATATAAAACAAATATGAAAAAACCAACAATTCTAATGTATATATTAAAATACAGTACAATAATAGGTATCTGATATCCTCACTTAACGTAGAATAATATTCTACCCAACTCAATACTATGTCCAACATGAGTTTCAAATATATCGGGCCCTAATCGTTCCTGAAAATAGTATTTTTTTACATTGTTATACCATATTCTAAACTATTTAATATTTCAGTCACTTAAAAAGTTAATTTGTATTGAATAATTGCCTACCATTAAAGCAAATTTGGACTAGTATTCTTAATGGGCATATTCTGTGTATGGATATAGGTACTTCCTCCAGATTTTGGGTTCAACCAATTTATTCTTAAAACCTGAAACATCTACATATAAAAAATAGACAGGTTACTAATTATAATAAAATTTACCCTTAGAATTATACTTCTTTAACAAATAATTTCCATTGGTATACTTTTCCATGACAAGTAATCAACTTCCTAACATTTTTTAATTGATGTAATACTTCCTCACGATGCGAAAAGAAAATCTTTTCTTTAGCACACAAAGGACAAACGATATGTTGGCTTACTTTCAGATTAGTTACTTTTCCATAGATATCCTCATGTCAATTCAAAGACGATGAACATGAAAATGATCATCACATGAAACATCACAAACTAAAAACCTAATAAACAAGTTTATATCGAATATAGAAATAATTTAGTGTTCTTACCTATTGTCGTCCAAATCCACGTTAATAGATAATTAATTTTTTGGATTTTTATCTTTTATTTTTAAATATATCTTTCGAACTACTGGTTTTAGTAATTATTAAATTAAACGAACTAAAAAGTCAAAAATAATAAATAATAAACAATTAATTCTCTTGTCAATTGTCAATTTTCTCCAGGTACCAAATACCGAACATCATCGATAACGCACGATCTACAACGATTACTCCTTTGATCTGATTGGACGGTTCAATGACGGTTGGTTGCGTATTTTAATGTATTCTGGCTTTATCAGGAAGTATTACGATATGAATTACACAATGGCAACACTGCACAAAATTCTTTTAAATTTTGTTTGTAGAAAACTGTTTTCTTTTAAATTTATTGCCCTCTATTATGTAGTAGCGAAACTACCACATCAAAATATCTGATTTGGAGACAGACTTTCAAAGCCTGTCTCCTTTTGCTACCTACAATTTTATACATGTAACGAGGCTTCTGTTGCGTAGCTAGATATTCTGTGGTAGTACGTTGCTGCGGGCCTCGATGTGACCATTTGTGTACGTGGGTCGGAGCGAGGCTTAGCGCAAGGATCTAGGGTACTAAGCTATGGTCGAGGGTCATTGGTCCCCGTTGTGTCCATACCCTTAGAGACCTTTGCTCTCTGCATGATATTATGGAAATACGCCAAGGTAGTAATGGACTCAGGTAGTTTATTATTAATACATAACAACTCATTCTAATCAGACAGTTTTTATTTATAATACGTAATAAATTTATAAAGTTCAGTTAAACAAAATATATTGTAACAAAGTTCTAGTGACAGAGAAGTGTCAAAATATCAAAAATAACGTACCTATTTAAGTAGAGCTTTATTTCTATAATAGAAACTTCTTATAGTTTAACATAAAATTTGTAGTGCATAAATTATTATTTACTTAACATATACTATAAACAACGCACTTTTTTATAAATGACAACAGAGCAATTCATTTATACATATATAGTACAATATCTGTTGCTTTAAAACTATTCAGATCCATCAAAGGATCCATATGATAATACAGTGTCCACTAGAAAGTCCATCAAATAATCAAACATATGTCAAATCTGACATTTCGTTCTAAAAAGATTAAAAAGTGACCTTGAAAACCCTTTAAAAATATTGTCTAGTTTCATATCTTTAATCTACCAGTCAATTTTTCTAATTTTTGTGAATATTTCGAATATTTTGATCAGTTCCCGTATATTAAGTTTTAGATATTAATTTTTGTGGACACTATACGCTAATTAAATCAAGATGCTTATTATAAAAAAAATCGTCTTTAATATAAATAAATGACTCTGTATGCCATTTGTTTCTGTCGGAATTGAATATAAAAAAATTAAAATAACAGTATTGATATAACATTTATCATTGTAGGGGTCTATATCGTAAACTGCACATACCTATCTATAATTACTTTGTCTTTCTTTTAGCACATATAAAAGTGTTAAAAACAGATATTGCCATCAAGTTTAGCAGTATATATGCACACCAAACTTAACACCTAACACGAAAATAACTGAATTCACAGATTATCGAAAACTTTGAGTATTTTTAATGACAGATACAAATAGAACTTAATATTTACCATTTAATATATTATACAGTGAAGGCTAAAAAGTGTGCAACAAATGAGAATATTTTTAATATTAATGATCGAAGTTTAGTAGGTATTCGAAAATCTATTAGAAGACATGTCAAAATATAATTACTTTTAGAAGTCCTTTTATTATATATTTTTATATCATATTAATTTGTTTTACTTACACGTTTAAAGGTTTTTTATTACGAAAATTTACATACAGGTTTTTTATGCAAACTTTTTGTCTCTCACTGTATATTTTAAATAATATTTACACAAGATAATTTTATATTAATATACATTTCAATCAAATAACATATTACTGTATAAATATGATTTTCTATGTAGGAAACAATTATTGCAAATACTGCAAGGAATGTCACGTGAATAGGTTCTTAATCAAAAACTTTTGATTAAGCGGGCTTTGACTTTGACAGTTAAGAAAATTCTAATATATTTTCCTATACTTTGTCATTAACCAAAGCACACTTAATCATATTAAACTCTTTGATTTCATTGTACACTCAAATGCAAAAAAAAACAATGAAACTTTTTTGTCAAAAAGTGTTATATATTTTTTTATTATTAAACCCTATTTTTTAGCAAACTCAATATAAATATGTCAGCTTTAATTCGTAAACTCAGTTTTTTATAAATTTTCATATTTGCCTTATTATACCGGGTTCGTCAAAGGGTTGTTTTTTACCTCAAGTTTAAACACCCTGTACGATAATTTCGTAAGCAAATTTTCCCAAAACTTTATTTTTCGGTCAGAATCATGTCTCTTGAGCATTTTGTTTTTTCGCTCATGTCAACACATGCCTTGGCTAATTTTTAAGAGCGAATAATGAACTTGCCACCAGCAATTTGCAATTTTATTATCATTACATCTTGATATTATTTTTGATATTGACGATTTTGATAGATGGTATACGGGTTGTTAATGTTAATTTGTTTATTATTCGCGGCAAGAGCTTTTGGTTGAAATATGGCAGCCTCGGCCCGCTCGTCGAGAGTCGGCAGTGTTGCCATTCTGTTCTCCAATAAGTAACCGTCCCCCCCCCCCTTAACAATCTGTATAATAGTCTAACTACATAAAAAACCTTATCATCGTTACATGGCTATAATGTCTGCCAGCGCGATCCCGGGGCTTAAAGCGGGGGCGGCCAATCGAAAGGGTGAAATTTGGACACTAAAAATATTATAAGGTACACGAGTTATAATTGCGAAAATAGCTTTTATTTATTATTAAGAAACCTGGAAAATTGTTGGCAGACATTTTTCTGGTCGCTAAAATGTCAACAGACAACGCGAAAGAGGCATGAAATTTTAAAACGTAATTCGAAAATTATTAAAAAATGAAATTTGAAGAATGAAAAAAAAAATATGGCATACATGCATGCCGATTGGTGGAATGCCATATTTATTTATTTTAAAAGCCGTATGAAAAAGGGCAGATAAAAATATCGTGGCTAAATCAGTTGCAGACAGTTATCAAAAGCGCGATATTACTCTAGCGCTTTCAGGGAACGCTCGCCGCCTCATCCATTTAAGTATAGATAAATCATGTATACGATTATATTATAAATATATTTTTTTATTATTTCAAAACAGATATCATACATTTACTATTCTGTCTCACTATTTGTATCTGACTCATCGTACTGCAGATCCCCGCTCTCACAAACGAGTCTTCCTCTGAGTCAATATCTGCACCGTAATTTTTTTATAGACTTACAGGTATTATGTTTCAATTGCTAACGCGGCCAGCGTTTCCTAAAAACGCTTATACAGGGTGAGTCTTAAATAAGTGAAAATACTTTAATCAATTTCTTTTTAAATTTATCTAAACAAAAAAAAAATAAAACGGTAAAAAGAAAATATGTTTCTTTTATCCAGATCTACCAGCTCTGAAAATATTTGCACTTATTCAAGATTCGCCCTGTAGAGTAATATCGCGTTTTTTATAACTGTCTACCGCTGATTGAGCCAAAGTTTTTTTGTTTGTCCTTTTGCATAGGTACGGTTTTTTAAATAAATAAACATGACATTCCACCAATCGACATGCATGTATGCGATGATTTTTTTTTGTCAAATTCCATGCCTCTTTCGGGTTGTCTGCCGGCATTTTAGTCACGAGAAAAATGTGTCAGTTTTACACGTTTCTTAATAATAAATAAAAGCTATTTTCGCAATTATAACACGTGTACCTTATAATATTTTTCGTGTCAAAATTTCACTCTTTCGATTGGCCGCCTCCGCTTTAAGCCCCGAGATCGCGCTGGCAGACATGACTATTTCATAATGGCTACAAAAAAGGATACTTCACACAAAAAATTAGCCATGTAACGATGATAAGGTTTTTTATGTAGCCAGCGCTCCGTCTATAAGGCAGTTGTAATGGTTGTAAGTGTGATGTACTGAAGTTATTACAGTTAGGTATTTATATTTTAACATCGTTAGTTATTATTATTGTTTTTAATATTTAATAAAACAAAGACTGTATCGTTACTCTGTAACGGTTTTTTTAATTTAGTATAGTGTATCTAATGCCGGGTCAATATGATATTACAATAGTCACCAAAGTCACTTCGTCATATTAAAAAATAGTATCAAAAAGTAATGATAATTGAAAAAATTGCAAATTGTTGGTGGCAAGTTCACTTGTTCGCTCTGTTAAAAATTAACCAAAGCATTTGTTGACATTAACCAAAAAATAAAATGTCCAGGTGACACGGTTCTGGTTCTGGTTCTGGCCGAAAAATGACGTTTTAGAGCCAAGGTAAGGTAAAAAACGACCCTTCGAACAACCTTAGTAATAATTAGCCAAATACTTAAGTTTATAAAAAACTGAGTTTGCCAAGTTAAAGTTGATATATTTGTATATAATTTGCTAAACAACCGTAAAAGTTTTTCTGTTGCGTTTCTTACATCTGAGTGTACTTTGACAAAACTATTTATAACAAAAGGAAGAATTCAAAATGAACGGGCAGTGTAAAAATAATATCTTTCACGGTTACAAATATTTAAAATTAAATTATATAAAAGTCTTGTAGTTAAAATTCCATATTACCTAGTCAAAAGACGAGGTGTCTTTTAGCCAAGACAAGCTATTTGAACAAAATATACACTCAGCCTTGGCAAGGGCAGCCATATTCATAAATTTACAGCATGTATTTTAGTTAATATGAATATACCAAGGAATCAAAAGGATTCGTAATCAAGCGGGCTTTAAATTTGACAGTTCAAAAAATTCCAATAAGAATTACGTTTATATCATCATACAAAGAACCATCTATATTATCATACAGAGAAAAATATATTGCTTTGATTATAATTAAATAAAAAACTAGTAAGAGCTTCATGGAACAACAAATCTTACAGGGTGTCTCAGAAATAAGTGCAGATATTTTAACTGGTAGTAGGTATATTTCGACCTCAGAAATAGGCCTATGATTTGAAAATTTAATTTTTTAACTTTGTTTACTTGCATTTTATAACTTGACTTTTTTGTATGACCCTCTCAAAATATTTATCTATTTTGACTGTTCTATTTTGTCAATTCTGTCAATTATTTTAGCCTTTTGGGCCTGATGATGGGAAGTAACTAATTCCCGAAACATGTTGCACCATTTTCAACAACAAACAA